CCGTGTATTTCGGACTTATCTTTTCTTCTTTAGTAGCCTACCGAGAGCTACCGGCGATCTATCAACCTTCAACATACAAATCTGTCCACAATAATTTAGCTATGTACAATTATGAAGATCTATATATCACATCAGATCTGAAAATTTTATATACAATCATGATGATATATCCATCTCTCGTGGTCCATTAATCATAAGAGAATTCACCGGATCTCTGACCACACATTTTGAGCCGACATTTATAAAAAAAATCCAGGGAAATAATTATATGTGAGATAAAAAGATCGAGCGTTGTTCGAATTGTTTTCGACGCAGCTACGTTGGACACCGTGCTAGTAGTTTAGAAGAGTTTTACATAGTGAAATAAACGATGAACCAGAGTATCCAAGGTTTATGTCTACTCTCCCATGAGATGGAGTATACATATATACTTTGTTACGAAAATATGGACCGAATACGTAACGTACGAGTTATTGAGAAGAGCCGTACATGGTGGGTGCAGAATGGAGCAGCAGCTTCCCGGGTTGTGCGTGCACGGACGACATGTGGGAGACCAGTGTCGATGAAAATTCTTGTTGGGAAAACACTCTCAATATTAATGGAATTGGTTGCATATTTATTGTGTTCCGGATCATTAGCAAAAAATCGTCTGCATGTTTGTCTTCGAATTTAAGCATTGGCTGTGACACCAGAGCGCATACAGATATACTCCAAGTTTAAAACAAAATGAAGGGTGGATGCAAGGGTAGAGAGGCTTTCAACGTCCAGATGGTGGATCAACCTTCAAAGTCTAGCGGGTAAAATATTTTTGCTTCGGTATACATCATGTTATGAGTTTTGCTTCGGCATACACCCCATAAAAATGGCATGAATCTTGTGTTATTTACTTATTTAGGGTGTGCATAGGTCTCAGTCGACTGCGAATTAACTAAATCTCAGTCAAATGACATAATATACAAGAAGTAAAGAAAAACTGAATTTTTTTTGCGCGGACCTTAATGTAAAATCTTATGGATATAGCATCGACTGAGGTTCAACTGAGACTTAGTAAGACTTGTTAGGAGACAGCCTCGGTCAGCGCTGGAGCGTCCCACGCTCCACGCCACGACCCCCACGTTGCCCATGTACTGGGCTGGCTACGGCCTCTATATGTACTCCCTCTGTATCACTTTGCATAAATGAAAAACCGACTGCATTAGTTTTCATGGTATCAGCTATCGATCCTTCCTCTCCTCGCTCGCCATGACGAACACCAGCGAGCAACCAATCCTCCCTCTCCCCGGCGGCCATCCCCCTCCCCAACTCTCCGACGGCCAAACCATTCCTCTCGCTCCTCCTCCTATTCCCGGCGATCACACCTTACCCAGAGTTTTCAAGACTGATTTATTTATTTGTGAAATGAAGACAAGTTTTTTGGCTCGTCTATTAATTAAGGATAGCAAGACAATGTTTTGAAGCGAAAAAAGAACCAAATTTATTATGAAAGGGGACTAGTCCCCCGGTAAGATATCACTCAAATGTTTAGCTCCCGTGATTTTCCAAAGATCAGCATCACTCTTGATGTTTTCAACGATGATTGGAGGTGGCATTGATTTCTTCCGGAAAATCTGGGCATTTCGCTCGTTCCAAATGGACCAATTGATAAGCATCATGACGAACGGCGCACATCAAGACACGCTTATAATTATCCAACGACACTAAGAGCAAGATTCCGTACATTACAGGGCCGAGAGAAGTAAAAAGACTAGAAACCAACCAACAACTTTTCGATCCTCTTTACACCGATGAAAAATACTGTATATGCATGCATGCGTGGCGCATGGTCTCCTCTCCCCGACCTTCAAGCGGTCGAGCCGCTCCTCTTGAGCGAGCCCAGCTTTTCTAGCGACTCCTTCACCACCGCCTCGTCGCGCAGCACGATCTTGTGGTAGAACGCCGCCAGGGCCGCGCCGGTGAAGGGCCCGACCCAGAAGATCCACTGCGGCAGATCAACGGAGCACTTCAATCTCATTGGAGCAAAAGCAATGGCTACAGGAATTGTATACAGTGCGATTTAAATACATGGTGCATGGATCTCACGTACGTGCTGCTTCCAGGTCTTGTGCTGGTTGTACAGCACGGCGGCGCCCAGGCTCCTCGCCGGGTTGATGCCCGTGCCGGTGATCGGGATGGTCGCCAGGTGCACCACGAACACCGCCAGCCCGATCGGCAGCGCCGCCACCAGCTGCGATTAATGACAGATCATCAGCCGGCCGTGATCACGGCGAGCTAGCTGAGAGGAGAAGGAGAAGGCGCGCGATGGACGTACGGGGACGAAGGCGTCGCGGGCGGTGCGCTTGGGGTCGGTGGCGGAGAAGACGGTGTAGGCGAGGACGAAGGTGCCGAAGATCTCCGCGCCGAGGGCCGCGCCGAGCGAGTAGCCCCCGGCCACCGCGTTGGCGCCGCCGCCGAAGTCGTCGTAGGGGTGCTTCATGATCCCCTTCACGATGCCCACGCCGACGACGGCGCCGAGGCACTGCGCCGCCACGTACAGCACCGAGCGCACCAGCGTCACCTTCCCGGCGATGAACAGCGCGAACGTCACCGCCGGGTTTATGTGCCCACCTGCATCGATCACGGGAGGCGATGATAATTAATCGCCGCAACAACTTGCGCGTACCTGTATGTATGTGGTCACGGGAGATGTGTATGCGTGCGTGCCTGAGACGCCGCTGGTGGAGTAGACGAGGACGGAGACGGTGGCGCCGAAGGACCAGGCGACGCCGAGGTAGCCGACGCCGGTGCACCGCTCGTCGGCGGCGGAGGACTGGTTCCGGTACCCGATGACGGTGGCGATGCTGACGTAGAGGAGGATGAGGGAGGCGGTGAACTCGCCGATGAGGGCGCGGTAGAGGGACCAGGTGGTCAGCTCGCTCGTGTCCAGCGCCCGGACCGTCGGAGGGTCCCAGTAGGGCACCCTCTGGACGATGATGTCTGTCACCTCTTCGTTGGCGGTGACCACCTCCTCCACCTCCTTGGCCGGCAGGATCGGCGACGGCATGGTCGAGTCGAGCCTCCAAGGCAGGGCAGAGGATTCTTATCTAGCTTGGTTCCTGGGTGCTACGAATTGTCCACGCCATGAGAGCAAGCTTAAATAGGGGTCGCGGTGAAGTGTTTGCACAGCTGCGTGAGGGAGACTGTGCTTGGATACTTGGAGGAGGTTCTCTGCTTGGAATCCACTACGTGTCCGTGAGCTTCTACTGTACAGGTGACCAGATTGCTATGTTCCAGTTACCAATTACGTCGACCGGATCTCCATCCAATGTCCCATACATCGCTCGATTTATTTCTCTTTGTTTATTTTTGACACATCACTAAATACCTGGTCGTCTGGTCCCCAGTTTCAGATCTCACATTTTGCCCCTCCTTTAAAAAAAAAAAGCGGAGCAAGACCAGCCTCTGACATTACTCCCCCTATATAGTACCTGCCTTCTTTGGCTCCTCAGGGATGGAGAGAGCCTCATGGGCGTCCATTGCCACGGGGCTCGTTCGGGGCCACCGTCATTGGGCGATGGCCACCACGTCCGCGAACTAGGGTTTGCTGTGT